ATATGCTGTTATTTGCGGTACTAGACAGGGCTAGAAAATAATGAATTTAGAGCTCAGAGCAAGTCGATAGAAAGCCGCCAGACGGCATAGTATGTACTTAACTACAGCAACTTTTTTTTATTGGGTAGGAACGCATGCTAACTGAACTAGTTATAGATGAGCATATTTGTTACATTGATTCTCTGTGGTCTTTGCTTGTTAGCTTCTTCTYTTTTAATTACAGCTAGTTAAAGTGATGACCTGAATTTCATGAAATCAGTCCAACTGCAAAAAGGGAATAAAAAAGTTTGGCAATGGCTACCAAGAATGAATAAATCGGCAGTCGATTTGTTCAAAACTTGGTCCAGTAGTTGACTGTACCTTGTGTAGTCTTCTGGCAAAGTTTCAGCGCGATAAGAGGCCGTTTTATTAGGACTTTTTCAAAATCCGCCCTTTTCTATCTAAATAATGATATCAAAAAAACCACTAAACGGCCTCCAATATGCCGCGTGTGCACCCCGTGGGTGGGAAAAGGCTGTAACACAAAAGGAAAAAAGGAAAAATTCTGGGCATTCTTTATTACTTTAATTCTTCGATTCTGCTTCAATTCTCAAAATTCTAAATACGACTATAAGCCTAGAATATTACATTTTCCCGAGTGTTTTGATTCCCAGGCSGAATGCAGTCTCCATGATCCTGGCAGTTGCTTCCAGAAGTAATGAAGTCGATCCATGATTACTTTGGTTCTTCGAATCTGCTTCAATTCTCCTAATTCTAAATACGACTATAAGCCTAGAATATTACATTTTCCCGAGTGTTTTTATTCCCAGGATACGGAAGGCCGTCTCCATGATCCTGGCTGTTGCTTCCAGGAGTAATAGTCGATCCATATTGACCTTGATAATYTCACCAGTTTCTCTATTCTTCTCGATGCAGTAACAACTGTCGTAAAACTCGGTAGTTGTGGTCGCAAGCTCGTAAAGGTATTCACACAGTGAGTGCATCAAGAGATCGTCAAGAATACGAGACAGGATTTCTGGAAATCGACTTATGCACTTGCCAAGTTTCCATTCTTTTGGGTGTTCGAGGCTGACTGGAGTTGTGGCGAAGCTTGCTTCGAGTGTTGCCTGATCTACGTTAGCGTTACGCTGAATTGATCTGTTTGAACAACAAAACATYGTGTTACGAGAAATCACTTCACCTTTGAATCATGTCCTAACTCRAAGGAAAAGTGAAGACTTCCATGTCTGAGCATGGATTTACAGAGCTAAGTTATAAGTTGAAAAGTCATATAGAGGGATAATAATCATACCTGATTCTGGTTAGTGCATACAGTAGATACACAGCCGTATTGCCTTTGTCATCAAGCATCTAAAATTGATAATGGAAATCTTACTTGTTTAACAAATGAAAATAWAGAGTTACATCTAAGCACTGATTGATGTATGGCTGAGCCTTGTTTTTAAGCCAGTCAATGAGAAATGAGAACGCCATTTTCAAGACWGTCTAGCCATTTGAAATTGAAACTGAGAAAGTTATAACTACTTCCCCCAGGCGGTATTCAAAGAGGATTAGTAAGAACATATCACAACAATAATTTTAGCCTGTATTTATTGCTTTCCTCTGTACATAGTGATTGATAAGGGAAACTCCTTTACGGTTGGCGCGACTCAAATGGCTCTACATTGTCAGCGTTGTAATTGGATGYTACTCTCAACTTTTGATTGATTCAGGGAGGAAACCATTTGAATGTCAACCCGGCTCAAAGGTTTTAAACTCTAAGGCCCTGGCTAAACGAGGAAAGAAGTTTCCAGAAACATGTTTCCCGCGCGCATGTTCCCCGATGATTCCAAGTTTAGCCACATGCGAAACATTGCTACGTGCAACAAATTTTGCTTCCAAGACGCATTGAAACAATGTTTCCCAATGTTTCCTCGCTTAGCCACGAAAGTCAACATTCTAAAAGTTCGTTACTTAGCAACGCTAGCTCTTTCTTGAAAGTACGCATGTGCTAACCGATATTGAGTAAACATGTTTCCTGATAGTTTTGTCACCTTTGGAAACATTTAAGAAAACATGTTTCTGGAAACATGTTTCCTCGTTTAGCCAGGGCTTAAAGACTCTCAGAAAAAAATACACCAAAGAATAAAATGAATCCGAATATAAAACAACATACACTTACCTTGTCGAATGAAAAAACATAGTCATTGACTCGGTTGTGTGAGAGATCAGCATATTTAATGCATCCATAAGCAACTGCTTCGCTGGCTGCCTTCAATTCTTCCTTGCTAAGAACCTAAATGTTATAATCAGAATGAAAGTGTCACCGACCTAATTCGGCATTTTTTTACATTTGAAGGGAAGGCAGGACCGCGACAACTTGCAAATTTCAGCACTATTCAGTCTCATAAAGGTGCTGACACACGGTGCAACATTGCACACAGCAGGACTGTTGCAGCGTGTTTCTACCCCAAACTTGTTGCACGCAACTTTGCATGCAACAAACCTGAAGTTGAATCGCGCTCTACTCTTGCAACATTGCGCGCAACGAATTTCATCACGTGAACATGGTTGCAACATTACCTGCAATATTTTGAAATTTTTTAGCCTATCAGCTTGCACCAAATATATAACTGCTGACCAAATATCTTAACATTGCAGGCTGACACAAGCAATGTTGCGTTATTTTGTTGCAATGTGTGTCACCCGGATTCAAATTTGTTGCTTGCAATCTTTCATGCAATGTTGTACCGTGTGTCAGCACCTTAACTGAACAGGCCAACTGATTCCAGTTAGAACATATTTCTAACATGCAACTGAATGTAAATTATTTTATGCACCTAATTGGGGACTGGAATTTTAATAGCGCAGCGCAGCCGTGACGTCATAAAAACGAAGACAAAGGCGAAATTCGGACAAACAAACTTACAAGTTTACTTTCAGCAGATAACTTTCACAGCCGATCGCAGTTGATCTTAGCTTACATGGGTTATTATTGTAACTTTAAGTAAAAATAATAAAATCGGTTCGTATAATCCTCGTAGCGGTTAAACAGAAWGCAATGTTTGTGCGAATCTTTAGGCTATTTTTAGAATCAGTGCGCTGCGCTATTTAACTATAGTTAACGATGTTTAACCATGGTTAAGCCCAGGCAAAAGAGAAAACACTTTTGCAAATGTTTTCTCGACGTTCCCCAGTTAGCCACGTGTGACAGGTGTGAAACATTGCTACGCGCGACATAGTTTTGCTTAGCCGGTGAACATATTTATGAAAACATATTTTTGAAAAAATATTTCTGGAAACATATTTTCTCAAATTTTTATGTTTTCCTATTTGTTTTCTAGTTTAGCCAGGGCTTTCTCTTCGCAAAACCTTCATGAGACGCATAAGACTGACCACCTGCTCTTTAATACGAATAATTTCAAGTCAGCTAACTAACTACCTGGTCTCGTCCTTTCTCTTTTAGTTTTTCCTCTGATCTTCGTATTCCCTCATCCAACAGATCAATCAAGCGGATTGTCTCTCCTGATCGAGTCTTGAACTTTTTCCTTTAGATTTAATGATGAGATATGATTACATGATTATCACAGCCTGGTAACGGAAGGGGTACTTTTGGAAATTATTTGTGGCTATCACTCTTCCGTCTCTATGACAGCCATATTGAAGAGCAGGAACGATTCAGTGTTCTTGCAAGACAAAAGCTTTATTTTCCCAAGAAGAAACTTTCTATTGTTTTGCCGTGCAACATGACTCCAGTAAAACTGAAATATATAGGAGTTGACATTAACAGTGAGAATAACACTTTTTTCTTCTATATAGACGTTTCGGTTTCGAATAAAGTATTATTCCCAGTCAGTGTCAACTCCTATGTATTTCTTTTAGCTATGCCTGACTATAATTACCACATTTAAAACCACTTTATGGCACGCAAAGTCACACAAGAATATGATCCAATTGTTTGATCATAATTTCCATTTCTCAATTTTCTTTTCGTTTATTCTATGGGCGGCTAGTGTAATACTAAAAAGCGAATAGATCAGGCTTAGCTATGTTCTGTTCTCTGATAAAACACTCCTGAAGCTGTAGAACACTCAAAAAGTCAGAGAACAGAACATAAGTAGCTAAGCCTGATCTATTTGTTAAATAGATAAGAGGATTTTTCTTACTTGTCTTCTCCCAGTACTACACCAAATCCAACATGGTCAACACGGACTCTCCTGGGGTCATATATCCCTGCTTCTCGACTTGCACCAAAAATCAGTTCAAAATGAGATGACTGAAAAGAAACAAATTATTTATTCCATCATTAGCCCTTGAGTTGAACATAGTCAATCAATCAAATCAATCAACTTTATTTGAATACAGAGTCCCATATCAATATTTACAATTGCCCTTCCTGGGAGCCGTATAAAAAAAATACATTTGCTGTTTACACATGAATAATTAAATTACAAATTGTATTAAAATACAAATTCCATAGTAAAATCTATATGGAATTGCATTTAAAGAGGTGATCTGTAGCCTATTTGGATATTCCGCACACCACCTCTTTAATATTCAGTTTAATATTCAGTTGTTTTCTAAAACTTTTTATATTGGGTTGTGTGAGGACCTTGGCAGGGATTTTATTCCACAGAGTTGTGCATAGTGATTCAAGATAAGGTTGATAATTTTTAAAATATTTTGTTGGGAAACATAGTTATTGTAGTGGTGACGATACTGATAATGCTTGGGCATGACATGGTCAAGGCAAGTCAAGACATGTACCACGAGACTTCACCTCCACACTTCTTCAAATCTGCTCTATTAATGCAGAGCGGTCTAGGCATGAACCGTTAAGAATAGCCAACAGGGAGGACAAAGGAAGTTTTAAAAAATGGTAAAGGTAATTTATTTTACCTTATCATGAAATTTTCCTGAGCTGTGCTTTACCCCCTCAAACTATCAGTTCTCCTTATTACCGTTATTTGAAGTTAAAGCTACATAGAACTAAGTCAAAACAGATGTGAAGATTCTGAGGATCAAAGCATAGTTAGTAGAGGGGGAYCCCCTCTACTAACTATGATCGAAGCGTGTACCTCTAGTTTTGAAGGCTGCATACTAACCAACTGATTTATGTAAAAATATTYAAAAGTCAAAGGCTATAAAGATCAGAACAAAACATAAGGGTTTTAACCTGTCCAGCATCTGTAACATAGATCATCCATTCTCCTCTCTCATCTTCTACCCTTTGTTTCAAAGCACACATATCTGAGGTATCATATGTGTAGCCTCCATCGGACTTGACTATAGTCAGTGGTACTTTKTGACCCTTAACAAACACTACTTTACGACCATCCTCAGTCACAACTTGACCTGGAAAACAAAGAGGTAAAATGATGTGAATAAAAAGGTTTTCTTTAAAATTTGAGTCAGAAGTTGGAATTTCAAGCTCTGTTTTTTAGCCTTTGCTCACTGTCAATCTTTGCCAGATGTCGTCAAGCAAATATTTGCAACAGGAATTAGCATTATAAAGGAAAACTCGCCTTTGTTTTCCAACAGCTGCACAACATCAGCCATCATTTCCTGGTAAAATGATTCTCCTCTTTCAATCAGAAATACATCAAGCCGCTCGTAGATCTTGGCAAACTCTGTCAATGAAATAAATACATGAAAAAAGTGAGCTAGAAAAGCTTTTTAACATATCAGTTTACAGATAGGCAAAATACTAGAAGATCTTGGGGGGGAGGGGGGGGGGACGAAGGGATGGAAATGATGAGAGAGAGAGAGAGAGAGAGAGAAAGAGATCATATACGCTATCATATACATATACTCTATCATATACATATACGTATCATAGGCTTAACAAGGTATATCAATCATGTTACTAAACCTTTTCTTGAGACATCACAGATTAACTTCCAAGCTGTCCTGACGTCTGGGTCACCACCTTGGAGCTGAACTACCCTCTCATAGGCCCGCTTTTTGAATTCTTCATCTTCATCAAAGCGCTTCTTGGATTCCTGGTTTACAGAAAGGGTTCCTTCACTTAAACAAGGTTATAAAATAACAGAGATATATTTGCATGCTCTAGCTGGGCAGAGCCCATTCATAAATCACAATAAACGATTTGCTGGTTGCAAGCTAATGGTATGCACTGTCAGAATTGTAACCCTCTGAGTTAACATCACTRAATAAAATAGGTCCACCATCTTGTGTGGTCATCTCAAGAACCCTTCGCAAATAATTATCTTTTGAAAATGCCAATACGGCAGTATTCCCAGCCCAGCTGGCGAAGACCTTAACTATGCCCTTCAACACAATAGACTTAATTCAATTAGCAACTACTWACTTACCTTGTAGAAGGCTTGCAAATCACTAATTGGAGGTGACTCTTTTACATAGTTGGGGAATCGGTCTTGAAGATGTGCAATAATCATTCCAAACTGTGTACCCCAGTCACCAATATGGTTAAGTCTAAAAGATTTTCAAGGTCCATTAAAATCTATGGKTTTTAAATATTCCAGGGAAGGCAAACTGCAAGCTCTTTGCAGGGTGGGCTTGTAAATTGCTAGAAGAAGTGCTGGGAACTCTAAGATTTAAAACTTGGATTTTGATCTCAAGGGGTTGGGATGGGGTTAGCTAGATAATTTTTAGCCTATGGCCAGTTGATATCATGACCTACTAAATTATCAGGTTTGACAACATTGCACCATTCCCAGGGCTTAAATTAATGGTCAGTCAGTTACCTGTCATGACCACCAACCAAATTAGCTTTAGCTTGATCATACCTCATTTCTCTCTCAACAGTAATGGTCAAAATGACCAGAAAGCTAGCCAAGGTTGACTAATACAAGTTTCAATATTCTGACTAGACACTGTCCAATGACCGGTCGTTATTTTATGCCCCATTTTCTAAATTAGAGTTGAATGTCCCAAACCTTTGTTTGGTAATATGCTCAATGGTTTTGAAAAAATCCCAAACATCTCAACTTATAATTATAACTTTATTCATGGAGTTCATGTCTCCAAAGGAGTTTTTCAATGGCGGCCTGCAAAGCTAAAAACTCTAACTTTTTTATATCGTCTTATAACCATGCACTCCCTTATAGTTAAATMTGTAGTTGGACTGCGATAACTCATGAGTTCTAACCTCAAAACTTCATGGCCTACAAACTCCAATAGACGACAGATGCTGTCACCAATGATTGTGGATCTAAGATGGCCAACATGCATCTCTTTGGCAATGTTAGGTGAAGAAAAGTCAACAATGCATCTCCTTTTCACTGTTACTGCAGGTGGGTGCACACCATTGATGAGAATATCCTTCAACAAATTCTGCACAAAATCTTTGTTCAAATGAACATTGATAAATCCTGGGCCAGCTATTTCTACCTATGACATAAAAAAGAGTCTTTGTTACAAATTTACTATACAGCAAAGCCAAACATTATCAATCCTATAAATTGGAAATGACAACAACAGAACATCTAAGTGCCAGAGCCTCAGACCAATAATTAATCATACATATCATTGTTGTAGTCTAACATAGCCTACAGAAAGTTGAGAAGCATTGGTAATCAGTTGTAGGTTTAATCCCTTATATCCACGGTCATGTATGAGTAAAGTTTTTTTATCTTCCTTTCTCTGCAAAACTCAGCCTCTAAATTCCAATTCAACCTTGAGTCAAAGCTTAAGATGAGCTTCTGGCTCAGAAGCTTGAGCAATCACTACCTGCTATCCAATAAAAAAGGTACTTTTAGGCTACAGGAAGTCTCCAACTGACCATTTTCACAGAAATGTATATTCAATTGTTATCCTAGTATAAAATAAAATAATGAAATATATCAATGACCATACCTTTGTTATAACATCATTCTCAGGTATGTTAGCTACGATTGCTTCAGCAATGCTCCTTGGGTTTACATTTTGGCCTTGATTCTTTAGTATCTACAACAGCAATAAGTCATTCATTTGAGTCACAGATGGAAAGAAAAAGGGGTATACYTATCCATTTTCAACTGTTGTCATTGCTACATATACACACTGTTGAGATGATAGGAATGRCAGGGAAATTGGGCAATAGATTACCGTCAATCAAAAAATAATATTGTTTGGTACCTTTACATACTCTGATTGACTGCAATGTTGCTGGATTTTCATATCACGACTGTTGTTTCGATCATCGTGTAGCAACGAAAACAGTACTTAGTGAATAATCCTACAATGTATTTTTGCGTATTTGATGGGCTCTGTGGAAGTGAGCTTAGAGTTGCTGACTTTATAGTTCTAAACTATATATATTTACTTATTATCTACTTACTGTAGCACGCAATTCATTAGGTGTATTTCTGATTGTCTTACCTGGTTGAGTGCCATTGCACTGTTACATTGATAATCACCAAATCTTTCAGCCTGTGATGCCTGCACCATCACTGGTGGATTTTCCAGCATTGGAAAAGCATTGACAATGGCATTCTTAAACAATTCACTCAATACAAACTGGCAGTTGGTCATTGTCTTTGTAGATTTTACTTTTTCRTCCTCAATACTCTGTAGAAATAAAAGGCATTAAGGGTACAGGAAGCAAAAAAGTGACAAATATATATCTCCTGGGGGTTGGGGGGTCTCCGGCAAAAAAGTACCCGGGATGCTCATCGGAAATTTTCAAAAAACCCCTAAGAGATACCGGAAGTCTTTAAAAACGGACGTGGCTGAATGCTTTTTAACCCCTAAGAGATACCACAACAAATAATATTAAATTTTATATAAAAAGCGCCTAGGATAAGCCATATCGATGCTTGATTCTCTCCTTTTCTGACACCCTAAGAGATACCAGAAAATGCTGATTTTCAAAAATTTACATTTAACACCCTAAAAGATACCAAATTGCGAATTTTTATCCCTAAGAGATACGACGAGCTTCCCTGGTAGTTTTTTTCCCGGAGTCCCCCCCTCCCCCCCAGGATAGATCTAATGCCCTAGGGTGCAGTAAATAAATGCAATAGCTCATTATATGCGAAATGCATATAGGAAGACATGCTTTCTAATTGGGCTAACTATAAGTACTAAGTAGTGCATTTAGTTACACTGTTGAGTATTAGATAAATTTATCCAACTTAGTAAATACACATATGCCATGTAAATCAAGTTGTTTAAACGAAACCATTAATATTAATAACAGTTTATGTCCTTTTCTCTTAATATTAATGAGGAAACAGTTATAGGTACTTAATCACTTATTGTTTAATTGATCATTATCTTACGYGTTTCAATTGATTGATCTGGTATTTAAGCTTGGCGTTCTCTGTCTCCAGGTCTTCTAGCACACCCAAGGCTTGTGCATTTTCTTCCGGGTTCTGCTCTGCTGGGACAACCTTCGACTTGAGAGATTCGAGCCTTTTCTTCAAGATCACAATTTGATCTTCCTAGAAAATTTTAGAACACAATAAAAATTTAAAACAAAAACACACACACACACACACGAAAACAGAGAACGACAAAGCTCATGGAGATTAGATTCTAAAACTTACAGCTATTTTTGCCCTTTTCCCGTATTCTTCAACCATATCCGCCATCTTTGAATATTTCTTCAATCCACGTGTCCAACCAAGGCAACAATTAACGTGCAAATTTTTTCCAAACCTCTGCGTCGATCGCGATAAATATGACAAAGTTGAATACCTGAAACCCTGTGCTACACCTTTAGAAGCCAAACAACATCTAAAAAACAATGTCATTCACAGAAATTAAAAGAAAATTTGATTTCCTCAACTTCGTGGAAAAAGAAAAACCTCAAAAGGCCAGGCTCCTTATGCACAAGGGGAGGTCACTGTTTTGATTTTTTCAAAATGGCGGCCGGAAAACTTTGAAACTTGAGAAACCTCACTAATTTGATTTATTCTTTCGAATGTAGCACTCTGGAGTAACAAAAACAAGGCTTAATTGCTCATTTAGGTATTATTTTTGAGGATGAGTTGTTTAGGAGAAGCAAAGATTGGTATTTGGACGTTTATTCCTTCTCCACATCCGACTGACAAGTGTGGAACCAATGGCTTGCCTCTGACACCAAACTCTATTGTTGTCATGGGAAGATTCCAAATATTAAAGTCTTTATATCATGAAAACATCTGTCAGTATCTGGATATCGTAAGAGCCAAGCATGGTGAGTTGTACACGTAATTTAGTAGTGAACATTTTGATTTTTCCTTGTTACATTGTTACATTGATCGAATGGATACTCTGCACTAGATAGCCATCACTTGTCATTCACTGGTTCACGAGTGTGCGGTCCTTGTTTTGCCATGTCTCAGGCATCTGTTATAGGAATGGCCTTGCTTGATATCTTTATTTTGATAATTAACGAGATCACTTCCTTCTAATAACTGCAGCTTCAGGACTGGCTCCCCACTGTACCCCCTCCCTCAATCCTTCACTCCTCCCCCTTATCAAAAAGTTACCCCAAGACCTTCATTATTTTATAAATTTTAGAAAGGCTTATTATAGCTGAAGAACATTATGAAGACAGCTTGCACAAATCAATTAAAGATGGTAAAAAATTCAGGTATAAAAGCTGGGTATTATCTTTTGCACCAGTCAAAGTAAACCCTGACTCCAACCCGGGATATACGTGGGGATTAGTATTGAATAGTGAACTAAAATTGAAAAAGTATATTCTTAACTAGTTGTTTTTATAAGAAAGTAAAATACTATGACAATTTGATGGGGGGGGGGGGGGGGGTTTACTTTGACTGGTGCATTAGTCAAGGGTGATCCTTGTCATATATTACTACATCTTCTTGATTCTTTGATATTCTTTGGTGAATGTTAAGCATACAGTATGTAAAAATCTCTCATTTCTCTGGTACCAAGAGACAAGTGACAGAATTTTACCCCTGGGTTCCCGAGTATGAAGATGCAGAATACATCATAAACAGGGTATGCAATTTCACTCAAGTTCCAAGTTCTTCCTAAGTTACTTGTCATATTCAGGGATTCTAGCTACTTTCATTTTGACCGAAACGGGTTATTATGGTCGTAAAAAAACAATACGCGAGATGACATGACAATTGAAACAGGAACTCAGTGCAATTAATTATATCTTTTGTCATAAACAGGGTCTACAAATTTGAGTTTTTTTATCATAAACAGGTTACCCCTTTCAGAATCCCAGCTGAACACCCCTAACCAAATTCTGGCAGAGTACCCCCCTGAGCTTGGTTCATTTTTCAACATGCAAGGGTAGCAAGGACTATTTTAATCCATTGGTTGGCATTTTAATCACTAGTATTTCATTGGTTTTCAGCAATGATGAAATGACAAGAATAATGTTTGAAGCTCTTCAAGGTCTTGCTTTTTTGAATAACCATGGCATTGTTAGCAGAAACATATCCCTACAGAATATTTTGCTGGATCCAAAGGTTAGTGCACACACTTTGTGATTTGGTTTGTTGCTTTGTATACTCTATGAGCTTTGTTTGCTCCTGCTGTTTCCATTTAATATGTAGGATAACTAATATATTTAATTCCATCACATATCTGATCTCATCCCTTAATTCCCATCCCAATTAACCAATCAACCAACCATCCATTCTTCTACCCATCTCTTTGTCCATATATCTTCTTTTGTTCCTGTTTGCATTTATATATTTACCATCAACTCAATTCTTCCTATTTGTCCATTCTGAAATATTCTCTTCTATCCAAGGATCAAATATGTTTTTATAAAATTATCTGTAAATGTTTACTCCATCCATCTGTCCATCCGTCTGTCCGTCCGTCTGTCCCTCCATCTGTCCCTCCATCTGTCCATTTTTTAAGGTTCAAAGCAATAAAATAATGAAGTTCACTGGATTATCATGATAGTGTTGCCTGATCAGCACATTTTTTGTTTTGTGTGTTTTTAGGGTAAGGTAAAGCTCTCCAAGTTCGGACTTAATCACATGACTGACAGTGGTTCACTTGTGTCTTTTCCAATTGGGTAAGAATGACCTACACAAACTAATAGTTGACTGATAGGGATGGTATCAAACTGACTATTAACTAAATACTTGGAATCAAAAAGTTACTCATACATGTACTTGAGAGAATATTCGGGATATTTCAAATGTACTATCCTTGTTATATGTCATACTTTTAATCATATTAAAATATGTACTGTTTTTAGGTCCCCGAAGTACCTTGCACCAGAGGTAGTTTCCTCTGGACCAGGTCTGTCACCAGTGTTTGGGCCATCAAGTCCTAAGGTTTGACACAATTTAAAATAGTTATTATTACATCCTTAGCAACTAACATTTAACTTTTTATTTGAGGGGGACATTGGGGTTTGCAATCTTGTTAGATTTTTGATGCAGTTTTGTAGAAATTGTAATTTTGAATCATTTTTTTGTCAAAGTCTGTGGTGCACAGATTTTGCAGTTTTTAGACTGGTTTTCATTGACATCTAGTTATCTTTGTGGTATTTTGGTTTCCATTCTTTTCCTAGTTTTTGCTTAATTGGAGTAAATATGTGAATTGAAGTTCCTTAATGCAGTTTGCAGTTTTTTTGGTTGATTTTTCCTGCACATTGCATTATTGCCCAATTTTTTAGACAGTTTGAATGTATGTACCTTTCGCCACCTCCCCCTTTTATACATTATAAGTTATCATTTTTTCTATTAGGTTGACGTATGGTCTCTTGGTATGGTTCTTTTCAATCTCATCATGGTAGGTAGCCATCCTATACTATCAATCATGTTAGTTATGAAAGTAACTTTAATATGACATTTAGTTAGTATTAGTAGTCAGTGTTTACAGCAGAAGGGAAAAACAAAATTTACTGTAACTTTTGAAATACTGAATGGATTTGCCCAGACCCACATAGGATCAATACAAGCTAACAAGTTAAAAAAAAATGCAAATGAAATTTTAGCTTAGGCTGTGCTTATAATGTATGGCAGAGGGGGGGGGACAGGACAAATTTTTATCAGAAAAATGGGGGGATGCACAAGTTTTGGAAGAAGCTACAAGCCTTGCTTAGGTGGGATCATATTTTTTGCATGACTTTAAGGGRGGGGRGGGGGGGGGGGKGTTAAGAATTATTCTGGACATTTCAAATTTTTCACCTGCCCCCACCCTCTGCCATACATCATAAACGCAGCCTTATATCATTAACTAGTAAATTTTACTAGTCAATAACTCTATTTACTGTAATTCTATCAACACTAAAATTAAGTTTGGGGTACCTATGTTTACAGCCTGAATTCTACTCTGGTTGAGATGGTTTTTTTTGATCAGCACAAGTACCTCATTGCAGAATTATGTGTAATTAGTTGTAATTGGCTGCAGGGGCAGATCCAGGGAGGGCTTCACCAATTTTGGGGACTTGTGAGTAACAGCTCATTAAAACCCATTACTTTGATCAAATAAAACTGTATATGAATGAAGCTGGGGGGAGGGGGCGAGAGCCCTCTTTCCCCCTCCCTTGATCCACCCCTAGGCTGCATTGTGATTGGTCAATGAGCTGATATCAAAGTAGTCTGTCAACAGAGATGAGTGTTGATAGGACAAAAATCATGTACATATGCTAGAGTTATTATTACTGATTTATGACTATAGCCAGTAGTATGATATGCACTCTTGTTCATGCTATAAACAATTTTTCAAAGGGTGGAAAACTCTGGCCAGATACTGATGAATGTAGTGAGGTGGAAAAGATTTTTGCAAAAGTTGTATCTCTTGTTAAGAGACAAAAAGGTAAGAATCATATTATCTTTATAATATATTATTTATTAAAGTGTATATGACACGAAAACATTCCATCATTTAAAATGTATAGTTTGTTAGTAATAATAAATACATCGTAACAAAATTTGTTTCAAAAGCTTATTTCTTGAGATATTTGCGAAAGTTAATCCCAATTTGTGACGTCATTTTGTTGACACGTACTCTAGATTCAGTAGTAATGCACTAAATATAAATTGTGATTCATATAAATTAACAACAAAAGACATATTTTAGTCAGCTTCATTTGATAGCTTACGTAGTACTCTTCCAATGTTGGGAAATTGAAAAGTGTACTACCTGAAATTAAGATTCTACATTCAAACATATTTCATGTATTTGCAACTAAATCTGGAGACTTGTAAACAAAATGACGTCACAACTCGTGCTAAAATTTTTTGAATTTCTAGAGAAATACGTTTTTGGAACAAATTTAACCGTGATATTCTTATTAATGCCAATAAACTACACATTCTTAACATTAAACTTTTTTCGTGTCATATACACTTTAATATTATATCATATTTTTCGTACAAACTACATCTGGGACCTGAGTAACATTTTCCATATCTTCACTAGTGAGGATATCGATGATGTCAATTGCAATGTTTTCCGGGACCTGTTTTGATTAACTTGCGTAGTTTTTCTTTGTGGATTTGTCTATATAATAAAAAGAAAATTACACTCTGGCTTGAAAATATGAAGTTTATCTTCTCGTGTTGAAAAATATTTCACTTGTTCACTGTGCTCACTCATGAATTATTTTTGCCACTCGAAGATAAACTTCATATCTTTGCGCCACCATATATTATCCTCTATTTCTAGTCTACAGTATCTTTCCCATGCATATTTTGAGTGGCAGATCTCGGATTTTGACTTTGGGATAAACCCCACAGTCAAGACTGAAATGTTAATTTTATGTTCTCTGAGGGATGCTATTTCTTACCTTTTAGTCAGAGCCAATCTAGCTGGAAGTGGCTTCTCAGGCATTTAGTGAACCTCTCCTTGTTTTGCCCTAGCATTTGTGTATCAATTTGTTCATCCACACATCCCATCCCATCCCATCCCATGCATTCATTTATTTTTCATTTTTCATTCCCTCATCCAGCCATGCCATTTATCATGGCCTTCATCTGTTTATTTAATCCCTCTCTTCATTTAAATATCCATCATTTTACATTTTTCCAAAATCCTGAATTAATTATTATTTAATCAATCAATAAGTCATTCATTCATTTCCTTTGTTTTTATTCAAATAGTTTCAAATGTTTAAAAAAATTCTTACCCAGGTAATTGTAAATGTTTCCCCCCAGAATCATTTGAAGATTGTTTGAACATATTGATAAATGACCACAAGTCTCCAGAAAAACTGCAGGTAATAAATATTACAGCTTGTATCATCTTATTCTAACTTGTATTAATTTTCATCGTATCACACTCTTCTGAACAAGGATGTGTACATGGTCATCACCATCAATACCTCTGTCATACCTATAGTTATGTGATGTCTTTGTAGGTTGGATTCTTCATATTTTAAGTTTACATGTGTTTCAACTTACAGTGTAATATGTTTTTTGTGTGTCAAGTTTTCAGACTTAGTATCCATCTTCATATATCAGGACATGAAGTGTATGCAATAATATAATATTATGATATGATGAATTTATTTATGAGTGAGGATAAGTGGTATAGGAATTACTGATCATCTTTCTCTATAGAGCTCTGAGTTCCTTTTAGTTAGACACAAATGATAAATAATTTCTATAACTATAACACTTATACGTAATTATAAGACATCATTCAACTTTACTGGACTTTGACACTCTGGTGATGAACAACATTGGCATCCTGAAGCTTAAATTATAATAGTACTAAATAATTTATTATATTGCTAAATAATTATGATATTGTTACAGGACCTCCCCACTGAACTGGTATCCTTCCTAAATGCCTGTCTTACAGTCAACCCAAGTGAAAGGTGAGTGATACTCAATCTCTTTACTCTCTTTATTCTAAATTGGTTTAAAAGCACATTTATAAATTGTTTCTTTTCTGTTTTTCTGTAGGCCATCATCATTGGAACTTCTGAATCATGAATTATTTTCTAATTTTGATAAAAGCAAGGTAAGTTTTTAGCTTTTCTTTAAGTTAGATATACAGTAGGAAAGTAAAAACATTTTGATGGTTTTGTTTATTCCTTTCTAGATCTCTCTTGAAAATGGTGTCCATCCATTCCCTGCAATCAATCGGTCTGTTGACATAGAACTTTCTGATTTACGTAAAGAAGCCCAAGAGAATGGTAAATACAAGCTGCYAAGTTTCAAATTACTTGCTTGTCATTTCATGTTGTAATAAGAACCCAACGCTTAATCAGCCTTTCTCAGTTAGCTACCACTCACAGAATGCAAAGTTGGGCAGGTTTTCAAACGTCAATCAATAGATTTTTCGTATATCAATACAGTATATTTTTGCTTATTTTGACAGGTCAAGAAGATGAAGACCATCTTGCAAAAAGGTTCTTACAATTCACTTGTTTTTTTTAGTTTTCTCAGATGATCCCTTTCTATGAGATTCATTAGGTTTAGTCTGACTTTTGATTAAACCCCATTATTTGTTTTCCTTTGTCATTGGTAGGTCTATACTATATTGAACTTGATAAATTACTCTCAAACAGCCTCTGAGCTGATCAAAAAGTCAGTTCAAAGCTAACTTACAGATCAGACTGGCTTTGCAGAGGAAGACAAACTAGAGAACCTGAAGAAAAACCCTTGTGAATCAAGGGATAGACCTAACAAACTGTACTAACATATGTAATCCTATTACATCTTCTTTGAAATTTGCAGTTCTCTCAGTGATGTATATAATGTTTTACCCAGTAGGCATYGTTGTACATTTGTCTGATAAAAGTTAACCATTCAACAGTTTTAATCAGCTGTATGTTTTTGTATTGTTATGACAGACCCCTTAGTGAAGTGTATTACTTGTGGTGCTTAGCAGGAGGAGACATAGAAGGAGAGTTAAAGAAACAAGGACTTATCAAGACCAAACCACCAATTTTATCCTTACCGAAGTAAGTTTCATGAAAATCCTGTCCATGGGGTCCAGGGACGGATCCATAGGGAAGATCCAGGGGTGGTAAAAAGGGTGACTCGTCACCCCCTTTTCCTCAAATTTCTCTGTATGTTGTTAGTAACAGTCACCCCCCTTTCCCTCAAATTCCTCATGAAATCTTTGTAAAAGTCAACCCCCTTTTAAAATTCCTGGATCTGCTCCTGGGATCTTTGTTTTTTGAAATCAGGGTTTGGTTTAATGGGCCTGGCTAGATTAGTTGTAACATCTAGGCCTCTCCGGCACTGTTACTCTATTATGAATCTAAGGGATTCTGTTACCTAGCTAGACTTCGAACAATTCATAGTTCACCATTCTAATAGTTCTAAATCCCTATTTTTAGGGTGTTTTTGTATACAGGAGAGGAAATGGGAGCAGAAAAAGACAAGATATTGCTTTTAGATGAAACTACTATTACACTCTCACTTTCACAACTAAGAGAGGTACATCAAATATTGCGGGGCATTTAACATTCGCATGGTATTGTACTTGAGGAAATTCTATGGTCATGACCAGCTTCAGTATTTTTTGTACCTAGCTCATTATGTAAACATATTCACCTGGTTTTAGTTCAGCACAAAACATAAGTAATCTATATTTTCAAGTCTGTTTACTCATCATCTATTGCTGTCATGGGTCAATTATATAGTGTTGACACAACTTCCGTCCAGTGTCCTCTGTCCTCAGGGCCGTATCCACCGGCACGGTTGGTCCGGTTTCAACCAAACCAACTTTTGGAGGAAAAAAAAATTTTCCTTTGAAAAAAAGTTGAAAAAAAGATTTTAAAAAATGATTAGAATGAGAACGAGTCAAGCAAAAGTACTTTCGCAACATTCAAAATCTGAGTACTTTAGGATGGGTTTGAAAAGATATTTAGTGTAGGAGGTTTTCCCTATACTTTTCCTTGCTCCTCTCCACCTACCCCCTACCCCTCCCCCTCCCTTGAAAACCGAACCAATCAAAAGTTGGTGGCTACGGCCCTGGTCCTGGGTGGATCGAATTGTCTCATCAAGCTAAGGGAATTATCTCCAAGATCTCGGGATACTCAGTCCTTCAGTCCTTCTAGTCCATTTACTCAGTGCCTACATGTTACATTCCTTAGCTCTCTTTGGATTTAAGCTGTTGAGTGCCCGGTCTCACCACCCTGGGGATTGGGACTTTAATTGACTAGTATTTATTAGCTAATTAAGACTGTCTGAATAATGCCAAATTGTCAACTCACGCCATTTTGATTTTATTTTAGAGATTAGAACATGTTGGGGTGTGCTCTTACTATCCACTGATTGAAGAAAATGAGTATGTATTTGTAGTCAAAAGAGCCAGGCTTCTGTTACAACTATTGGTAACCCTGTGTTTGGCATTTAAAACAGTCGGGCACTAGGGTCAAACACTACATCAGCAAGACTGGTTTTGGTTTGGGCTGGGACTAACAAAGTGTCTGGAAAATTTGTAAAAAATGGCTTGTCTTCAGGGATCTACATTTTTTATGTATCTTTACAATTAAATCAATCATCGAGGTTCTGTACATTACTCATACACTATAGAAGCGATAAGTTGTACTTCATTTCCTTTAATACGCATTTTTAATGCAGGACATCATATACGTCACTCACATTACATTTTTTCTTGACTTGAAATCCCACGATTTATTGCGCTTAAGAATAAAACCGCGCATGACATCTTAATCGCTTCTAAAGTTTTCTTGTTTCTCAGTTCTGGAATTTTCTTGTTGTATAACAGCCCAGCCTCAAGATCAGCCATGCTAGACATTGCAGAACTACCTCTTGCTATACGAGAAAAAACTGTAGACTATCAGGTAATGGCAAACTATTGCTTAGTTAAGCATAGTAAAGACGTTTAAATGGTAACTTTGGCTTTTCTTTTTTCTTTATCAGTTTCATCGAATAGTTCTTTTTCAAAGACTTCTCCTGGTGAGTTCTTTGTCGTTGATTGAATTTCACTCTCACTGATGTTGTCACGTATATGACTAATCTCTCCGGAACAGAAAACGACGAAATGAGAAAAGAAATGGATAATGACGTAACATACATGACGTCACACGAGGTTATGTCGTCATATTCATGTTAAGAGTTGTTTATCAGCACTATAGTCTTTTCATGACTATTATGATTGAACGACCAGTATTTTTAAGGGTCGTCCTTAGTGAAACAAACGTCATCATTTCCATACCATGACCGTGTCGTATATGTTGTGTCGACAGGGGTATCCCTACACGCGAGACAGATTAGTCCGAGAAGCGCGCACTGATATACCACCATTGCTGAGAGGAAAGATTTGGGCTGGCTTACTAGGAGTTCAGGTCAGTTAGTTGCTTGTTTCTGTTTGCGGTTGGGCTGCATATCTCATACAGGCTGTTTTCTTCTCTGATGTATAGGGTGATACACGCGGAAAATATGACAGCATAGACAAAGAATCTCCAAGTTCAGCAGACAGACAGGTATGACTGACGCATAGCGACAGGTAACACTAATAGTATATATAAACATCATATTGATCTATGATTATTTTTTCTGTTGTTGTGCTTAAATTTGTCTTAAAGCAATGTTTTTTGTGTATTTGAGAGTAGGGTTAGAGAGTAGATTTGTTTTGGCATCAAGAGGGATCTCTGTGTTGTGTACACGGACGTACGGACGTAGTAGTCAAGCCATGAAAAATCAACTCGATGGGTTGCAATTTTTTCTTAGCTCAGCTATAATAAGAACGTTCGCAGGCAAATCTGTTCTCCATTTTCTTCTCAATTTTTACATGGTAAAATACTATGATCAAGAAAGTTTGATGAGCAAATAATTAACAAGTCACTGAAGATGAGATAATATGCGCAGAAAATATGCGCACAAACAATGCCCACTAACGTGCATAATGTTCTTGATTTTAGATCGAAGTCGACATTCCTCGCTGTCATCAGTATGACCCTCTACTATCTTCCCCTACTGCTCATGAAAAATTCAAAAGGGTGCTGAAGGCATGGGTAGTGTCACACCCAAACCTGGGTTACTGGCAAGGTAATCTGTTAACCACGTGATGGTGGTAGTGGTGGTGATAGCAGTGGTTTTAATAGTAGTGGTATTGTAGGTGGATGGCATTATGATGAAGGTAATGATGATGATGCACGTGATGGTGGTAGTAGTGATGATACCAATGTTGTTGGTAGTGGTGATGGTGGATGACATGATGAAGGTAATGATGATGATGCACATGATGATGATACAAGTGCTTATGCTGTTGGGGAAGGCAGGAGTGGCTACAATAGTTTTACCGACTAAAACGTTTGGTTATCATTTTTCAACAACCATATTTTGTCAACCGTTTTCAGGCCTCGATTCCCTTTGTGCGCCTTTCCTATCTTTGCACTTTAACGATGAAGGTAGGTCATCCTTACAGATTATTGCACTAAACCAACCAAATTATTTATATATTAACGAATCTTTTCTCAATTCATCTTCGACCTTGGCGACTACTAAATGTCTCAGATTTTGTCTTTCATCAGACGAAATCTTACTTATCTGGACCAATGTAAATTTGACCAATGGAAGCTGAAATATTAAAAAATGTGCAGCATCTAGAGCTGTTTTAACCGCAGGAAAGCAGAAAACACTGTAATTGACTGCTGTTTTAATATACTTTTGTAGCCTTGGCGTACGCCTGCCTGTCAGCATTCATTCCCAAGTATTTGCATGATTTTTTCCTCAAAGACAACGCTCCAATAATTCAAGGTAAAAATAGAAACTGTGTCTTTTTGAAAGCCCATATTTAGATTTCGGAGTAGTACGGGGATGGACCTCAGGGTTTGTATAAATACGCTTTAGTTATTTGCATTTTTCTAACCTTCTCATCACCCTGTAGAATACCTGGCCGTGTTTTCTCAGCTGATTGCATTCCATGACCCAGAACTGTTCAACCATATGCAGGAGATTGGCTTCATTCCAGAGGTAAGGCAAGCAATGTTATTTCGTTATCAAAGTTGTTAAAGAAAAAGCGCCTTTGTCTTACCGACAAATTTCTATTTTTCCAGTTGTATGCAATACCGTGGTTCTTGACGATGTTTTGCCGTAAGTAAATATTTCTTTCTTATGAGAGCATTCTTTGTTTGAAAAAGTGTTAGGGGAAGATCCTGAGTTAAGGTCGAGGAGGCTTCCATATATTGAATAGCTATGACTAGATTTGACCTATCACCTATTCATACTTTACTAAATTTTGGGAATTAGAAAAACTACAGAATTAATATGGCAATGAGGTAGTGAAGCTGTTCTTGTTCAAAGGCCTCCCCTGTATAGTTTTCAGCAGTGTTTAAGTATGTTTATTCTTCTACAGACGTATTTCCCTTACACAAGATCTATCATTTATGGGACACCTTGTTGCTAGGCAACGCATCCTTCCCGTCATGCATCGGTGTGGCTATTCTCCAGCAGCTGAGGGACCAGCTTCTATCATTTGGCTTTAATGAATGCATTCTTCTCTTTTCGGATATGCCGGGTAAGTCATCAGTTACACTCAATAATACACATTTTTCAAGTTCCAAATTACCGCTTTACTGTTTACTGTTTCTTGATTACAGATTCATTTACACAGGGTTAAGTGAAGAATGCACAACTTCAACAATACAAAGACTTTCAAATTACACGGATCTTCACTTTAACACATGAATTTTTTGCATAAAATCAAGGCTAATTCTGAGCAACAGAGAACTCGAAAGATGGAGCGTTCCCAACTCCTAACCTCTAGTTTGGCCACCTTCGCTCGCTTCAACAGGAAGTGAGGTCAAGTGAGGTCAAATGATGTTAAAACAACACTGGAAACAAGACTACCACCCTTCCAGTAGCTACCTATAAATCTCTTCAGCTCAATATGTCATTCCACATTCTAGTTAAAACAACTGACATGTCTGACCAAATAAGAAAACTGGGCCGTGGCTTACGACACAGCACGGCACATATGCACACCATAAACTCCGTCATATTGGAGTTTAACTGTATGAGTTGTTTGTTATTTTGCTAACCAGGATATTTTGCAACTTTGTTTTTTTTAGAGGTAGATATAGATCGAGTTGTTCGAGATTCAAAGAAGATATTCTCTTGGACTCCAAGAACTGCTTCCTTGAGGCGACATGAGCATGCAGTTGCTACATCAAAGGGAAAGCCGGTACGTTTTGCTTTGCTTCACTCAATAACAATCATGGTATTCAACATTGCATTATATATTGTTTTATATAGGGGTGTGGTGTTCCATATAGGGGTGTGTTGTTTCATATAGGTGCAGTGTTTTATATAGGGGTGTGGTGTT